AACTCGTCTTTTTCCGAGTTCTTCCTCATTTTGCTGTTAAATGAAGATAAATTTATCCTCATTAAACTGTGTTAATGAAGATAAATTTATCTTCATTTAGCTGTTAAATGAAGATAAATTTATCTTTATTTAGCTGTGTTAACGAAGATAAATTTATCTTCATTTATCTTCATTTTGAAACACCCTCTAGGACGACTATCCCCAGGACAACTACCCCGGACAACTTTATAGTAAAGGTTACAGCTTGAAGTGTATGGCGCCCTCAATTTGCATGTTTGAAGACAGAATGGAGTGACTGAGAGAGGGAAGTAACATGCCTATTACACGCAGTGTTTACGGACAATGCCTCACTGACTCTCTTACATAATTATGTAGTGATACTATCATACAAATATTTATGAAATAAACACAATTCAAGTGTTCCGCGTACAACAGAAATCCCAATTTATGTATTCTTTTATCAATATTTGTCTTCAAACATATTTGGGGGGGGGGATCTTTGCAGAAGTATATTATAATCAATGTATGCTTTGTTCGAACAATGTAAGTGAAGTGAATCAAATACACTATTCATATAATCCTCGTCTCAAATGCTCACACACACACACACGCACACACACACACACACACCACCATCAACGCACACACACACACCCACACACACACACACCAACCTCTCGCACACAGAGCCCACATATACGGGTCCACATATGCCCACACATTATGCGGGCCTATTACATATCAAAATATACCACCAGTTTTAAAAAGGCATAACAAAGGAGAAGATGGCAAATAAGTAACCCATGGAATCATTTTGTGCGTTCCTTTTACAAGCTAAATTATTATAAGGAGAACAAGTTTCTGTAAGGTTCCGCCTTGATATCCGGAATAGTAGTGGTATTTCCCTCTTTGGATGAGGCAAATCTTCTAGCTGCAAAGTGGGGATCAGACACAATCTCTCAGAGCACGTTATTGGTTGTTCCATACATAGCTGACTCGATATATGACGTAGTTTGAATCGCATTTGAGTGATTACCAGGTCGCTATAAGTATATGCGTTTAACGATTTCCGTGACCCCGATAGACGGATTTCCAACACAAGGAAATCAGAACATATCTGAATTTAAATTGTGAGAAAAGGAGGAAACTTTGTGTTCTCGAGTCTTGGCAAGGGCTGTTGTCAAAGATTGAAGTAGTTTGCAGAAAGTTTTCCTTCTATCTAGGACGACCAGCTAAGGTATAGAACTGACTTAAATTTGGTATTTTGTCTTCACTAGGAGAGAAATACGAAAAATTCACCAGTGGTTCAAAATTAAGCTCGACCGAAACTTCCTTCTTGTTGGATAATTTAATATGGGGAAACCCATTTTATATCCATGATATATTAAATTTAAGACTAAATTGTGTGAACAAGGAAACACTACTCCTGAGTATGACCTGGACTATTTCATGTTGCCTCGCTGATGTTTTCTAGATTGATTATTTCAATCGGTCCTTTCTGTCCATCTGTGGATGCGGTTGGCTCAACTATTATATGTATTCAGTGTTTACAAGGTCCTGATCTTCACTTCACCAGTTTGATTAAGATAAGGACGATGCTGACCTAATATTGCATCTTCGTATCATGATTGGAGTTTTTTGTACGTAAAAGAAGAAAGGCCTATATCATACGGTCCTCGTTTAGGATTCCACAAATAGCCAAACGTAGAACCGTAAGTTTCACCTGAAACACTGTCAATTACCAAACAAAATTAATAACGGCAGAACTTGTACCTTACCCAAGCGAACCAAACAGTTGTAAAAAGACTGGTATTGAAGAGCTACATGTACAAAGGTGCGCCTGGATTGTTTAAAATCTTAATTTTGGAGCCTGCAAACTTATTTTAGAGGCCTTTCTTCCATTACAGAGAATACCTAAATGACTTGGAATGGTGTATAGAGTAGAGGGCTCGACTAATCTCTGACAAATTTATTTTCCCTGTTTACTAGTGTGTTCACCTGCGTATTATGGCGTCTTTACTAAGTTGGATCAAGTCCTTTTCTGGACTCATACTTGTGTTGTTCTACATAGCTGCTACAAGTAATGGTAAGTAAATAAATACACATTATTATCTTTACGAAACGATGTGCCTTATAAAATAACCTCCATTCATTCAAAAAAATATACTTGAATAAGAGAAATACAATTAGCTATGCTGTAAAAATCAGGAACACACACAAAACAAAAAATAACAAATTTCTCTTTTTAAAGTCCATACATATTACAGTATAATATCCGGATATTTGTTGCGTACCGTTACGTTATGCTAGCCTAGATCTAGGTGTGACAAAAATAGAGAAATAATATTAACGTCGGCGTTATGCCAAAAGGGCCTTAACCCGATTTTTGGGGTTATTGAGTTATTAACATCACCTTGTAGATTTCAACATTCTCTTTAAAATGATGTGCTTCACTTGTTGAAATTCGATTTATTTATGAAGATAATTATGAATTTCAAAAAGGCCCTAACGCGAATCTCATCTTTTCCTTACGCCAAAAGGGCCTTAACCTACACGGCATTATGCCAAAAGGGCCTTAACCTGCCGTATCGTAGTTAGCGCCCTTCTGGCATCTTCTGGCTTCTTGTTTCGCGGCACTTTTGGTTTGCCAGGAAGCCTCTGCTACGGCTATTGGATCACGAAAACTAATAAAAAAACTGATTTAACGTCCATCAATTTCGTCAAAAATGTAAGTATTTTTGATATCTGAATATGTATTAATATAATGCAGCTTTCGGTGAAGTAATTTTTTAGAAATCGTTCATTTAGGACACCTTTTTCGTTGTTTATTTTCATAACAGTCCCATACGTTGACATCTGCGTATTGCATGAGTCAGTGTCATTTCATGCATCCACATTTAACTTAGATCTCACTCAGAATTCATGAGCTAAATTCATGAAATATACTTTCAGTGATTATTCTAAGTATACTGTGTCTATTGTAGACTAATCATGTTTTTAAAGGTGTTTCTATTGATATTTCGTGAGGAGAAGGTCTGTATTTTCATACATGAAAATGTGATTTCATTTTCATTAACAATTAACGTAGGGCCTATTAGTTAGAGACCAGGCCTATCTAATCTAGATCAAGTCTAATAACAAATTTATGATTGATATTTTATTCAAAATTGACTAAAGTATCAGCACTTAGTATCATCATTACAGTAGTAGGATCATCTTTGCAGTTGTAGGATCATCAATGTAGATCTAGACCTAGTGGAGGTCATAAAAGTTGTATTTATTTCAGCCATTGAAAAATACAAACCGTGATCAATACAAACGGGGGCTACTATATCATAACAATAAAAGCATTCAAATATATATTTCATGTCGTAACAATGTATGTTAAGAAAAGAATACCTTATCAAGAGATATTCTAAATCATATGCCTCTGCCTTTTTCCCATTTCCACAGCAAGCCCAAGAATAATTACAGCATTTACCTAATCATGTCTTCAAATAAGCTAAGTATTTTCTTTATCTTATCATTTTTTATATGATTTTTTATGATTTCATTCATTTTTATTATGTTGCTTATCATTGTTATTTCTTATATGTTTCTATTTCATTTTCATTTTCTATGATTTCAATGTATTTTCATTGATTTGAATCTATTTACTTTGACAAGGAGTAAACAAAAGAAATTCTTTTCAGATAATCTATTGAGTTCAATAGAAATAACGAAATAATCTGTTATTGATCAGGTTGAAACATATTGTAATTTTGCCTGGTGAGTTCTTTTATCATGTGATAGATTAACAATGTTAAGAAAAGTGTAATGTTTTTTTTGTTTTTTTTTCATACTAAGGGAAATGGATCCTGACACAGATGTCCTTGTCAAGTGGACTAGGAATGGAAAAACAAACTGTGTACGAGTGGGTGACTTGCTTTGTCGTAAGGGTCCCCTTAAGGTTTCTTCGACTGTTATAATGATATATAACAGGGAGGAGTGGGAAGGAACGATAGTCGCAATAGAAGAGATATCGGATGACGCATCTTCTTCATCATCCGAAGATATCCCACTGGCGCAACTGAAGAGGGCTGATATACCTCTGGAAGAGATTGACGATGATGACATCCCTTTGGCACAGGTGAAAAGGAAGAGTTTAGGTAAGAACTTGAAAAAATGAAACACAGATATTTTTCTATTTTCATAAGATACACTAAGGAAATCATATTCAAAACAGAGTCATTACAATTTCAACTAGTGGAAGAATGGAAAAACAATACTGTATTGTTTTTCCATTCTTCCACTGGTTGAAATTGTAATGACTCTATTATTTTTTTTTCTTTTCCTTCTGGAATTAAGTACAATTATCAGGAGGGGGGGGGGTCTTTTGGTTGTCATACTGCTAAGGCAGTTTTGCGAAACTGCCTTAGCAGGATGACGACCACAAGGAAGGAATCTTTTCGGCATGTAATCGGTGCTTGTCCTTGCTATGTTTTGAACACTTCAAGGAAGACATGTGCAAACATCATGTAGAGAAGGTTAGAATAATTTACATCATTCTTTTGTTCCAGGCTTCTAGTCATTTGACTGAGATTTAAAGCTGTAAACAAAAAATTATAGTTTTGTATGTCATCCAGATCAACCCTTGAATTCAAAATAAAAAGACTGACCAAGGTATACTTCTTTTTAAAACATTGGGAAGGATGAAAATGACAATTCTGGTAAAGATAATGTATTCAAAATGTGTTGTAATTATGATTTCTCTAATATGCTTTGTAATGTAAAATATATTAACATTAATGATATGTAATTTTAGTCCTTTTACATTTTGAGTGAAATGTCTTATTGACTGTTAAAGTCATGGTTGGAATACAATAGAACATTGTTTATTGTCTTTAAAAAAAAAAGAATAAATTTCCATCCAGGAGAAACATGCTACATAGAATTACACAACTAATACATATTATATAAATACATTCAAATCGTGATTTTTTTCTTTCTTCCAACAGTTTTCAATTTCTGCAGATTGGATACTGAAGCATTGTGATCCTTCATTCTTTGACGATGTTGGCAGCGAAGGGCAAGAGGTAAAATCATATTCCTATGTGAAGATAAGGTATCAAGTTGCCGGTGCTGTTGCTCGAAGACCAATTTTCATTACTCAAATAATCTACTTAATGCATGTTCAAGTTAGAATTATCATTTATGATATCATAGCTTTCATTTAAAAATATCACTATTCATCTAACAGGCAGGCTATTGAATTAAAAGAAGTAAATTTTATCAATGGTACCAAGGACACAACTAACCGTTTTGTGTATTTATTTTTTCAACAGAAAACAATCCCATTTTGGCAGGACTCAACTATCCATGTTACCCAAGATGAAGGAGGATCAAAACAGATTCAACAAGAGCAGGTTTGTATTTTCATGCTTAAAATGTGATTTATTCATGGTAGGATATATTCAAAACAGTTCTAGATGTTCATTAGTTATGATAAAAGTTCACTGTAAAAATAATTTCAAAGTGCAGAGAGAATGGGAGAGGGGCATTGGGTGGGAATGTTCAATCCTGTTATTTCTTTGTCAACATATTCATAATGTCAAAAAAGGAGAGGGGAAAATGTTTAATCTTGTTATTTATGTATCAATAGATTCATGAGACCTGGCAGGACTCGACTATCCATTTTACCCAAGATGAAGGAAGATCAGAACAGATTCATGAAGAGCAGGTCTGTATTTTCATACTTAATGTGATTTCATTTTCATTATCATAATAACAAATTTATGATTGATATTTTATTCAAAATGGACTAAATAGAAATGATCATTGAAAAGTAACTCTGTGTAACTTTTTTTTAAAATTTTGTTTTAACAGAATGATACAAGCCCTGGATCCTTGCATAGTGCAACAGAGAGTAATTTTGCAGCTGATTCTGGAAACCTAGACTTACCGGACGTGCCAGACAATGGATGTAACGCAACTTCAAACATGTCAAATGAGGTACTTTATCAAGAAAGAAAGTTTACCATGTCTATTAATCTCCCAGTGTATGCTCTATTAGTTACAGGATGCCAGGATGGATATGTACACATAATGGATGGATGACTGTCTCCCATGAACATATTACTATAGCAACAGCAGATGAGTATCATCACTGCAGTCGTAGGATCATCATTACAGTAGTAGTGGAGGTCATAAAATTTATATTTATTTCAGCCATTGAAAAATACAAACCGTGATCAATACAAACGGAGGCTACTATATCATAACAATAAAAGCATTCAAATATATATTTCATGTCGTAACAATGTATGTTGACAAAAGAATACCTTATCAAGAGATATTCTAAATCATATGCCTCTGCCCTTTTCCCATTTCCACAGCAAGCCCAAGAATAATTACAGCATTTACATAATCATGTCTTCAAATAAGCTAAGTACTTTCTTTATCTTATCATTTTTGATATGATATTTTATGATTTCATTCATTTTTATTTTGTTGCTTATCATTATTATTTCTTATATGTTTCTTTTTCATTTTCATTTTCTATGATTTCCTTTCATGTAACTTCATTTGATTTGAATCTACTTACTTAAACAAGGAGTAAACAAAAGAAAATAATTTCAGATAATTTGTTGAGGAATATTATTTGATTATTTTTAGGTTTCCATTAGCATATCGAGCTTTGTAATAATTCAACCAAAGAGGCGTATTGAGAAAGTACATGTAACAATATCCAATATTACATAATGTTACATCTTCATTTTCTTCTCTTCATTATTTTTCAGAAACAAAAGACTAGAAAGAGATCTGGTGATCCTCAACAGTGGAAGAAGAATATGCGTAAAAGAAACAAAGATGAAGGTAAGGAATATATCAGTCCTACCGGGAAAAAGTTTCCTGCAAAGGTGATGCGGTCATCATGTTCAAACAGTTGCTGGTTGAAGTGTAGCGAAAACTTCAGCAGAGAAATGAGAGATCAGATATTCCTAGACTACTGGAGTGCTGGAGATGCTGTTCGCCAACGGGATTTTATTCGCCGTAATGTCATTAATAGGTCTTCTACCAAGCACCCTTCATCTAAGCAAAGTCAAAGACAGAGAAAGGTCTACACTTTCCCACTTCCCAACTCGCGCAAACCTGTTTGCCGAACCTTCTTTCTCAATACCCTTGGTATTGGTGCGAAATTGGTAAGATACACGGTTGAAAAGAATGAGGGCGACTTCATATCAGCAGATCAACGTGGGAAGCATACGCCTTACAACAAGACGGCAGTGGCAGAAGCAAACTTAATTCGCGACCACATCAAAAGCTTTTTTAGCTGTCGAGTCTCACTACTGCCGCAAGGAGAGCAGCAGGAAGTACCTCCCTGCTGATCTGAATATTGCAACCCTGTATAGGTTATATACTGAGAAGTGTGTGGAAGAAAATGTGAAGCCCAAGTCTGTTGCCCTGTATCGCAAAGTGTTTTGTGAGAGGTACAACTTGTCCTTTCACAAACCCAAGAAGGACCTGTGCAACAAGTGTGCAGCCTTTTCTAATCTCCCTAGTGATGAGAAGGTAGATGCTACAGAGGAGCACAAGTTGCACCTGGAGAGGAAGGAGAGGGCTCGGCAAGAGAAATGAGCTGACAAAGAACGCAGTGAAAAAGATCCATGTTTTCAGACTTTTACGTTTGATCTGCAACAGACATTGCAGACCCCATCATCCAATGCAAGTCTCTTTTACTACAAGAGAAAGTTGAGCAGCTACAACCTTACTACCTACGAACAGAACACAAGAGCGGGAACCTGTTACTTATGGCCCGAAACAGCAGGGAAACGTGGTGCCAGTGAGATTGGTACATGTCTGATGAAAACACTTTCGTCTTTGCCTAAAAGCACTACTCACGTCTCCCTCTTTTCAGACTGCTGCGGGGGGCAAAACCGGAACAGGCACATTTCCGCATGTCTCAGTTATGTTGTTAGAACGTCTCACATCAAGGTTATAGAGCAGAAGTTTCTTGAGTCTGGGCACACGCAAATGGAGGTCGACTCGATTCATTCAGCAATCGAAGCATCTAAGAAAAAAGTAGACGTATACCATCTGAATGACTGGGTGAACGTCATCAAGCTTGCAAGAAGGAGCAACCCATATAAGGTTGTTCAATTGGAGCATGATGATTTCATTGACATGAAGGATCTTGAAGAGAGGTTGTTCAGAAACGTCAAAAAAGATGTAGAAGGTGAAAAGGTGAAATGGCTGGAGATAAGAGTCATCCGGTATGATGCACAATCTCCCAACATCATTCGCTTCAAGTACAACTTCAATGAGGAATTTCGCCAATTGAAGGTAAGGATGACAAGTCGCGGCTATGATCATGTAGCCAGCTTAAAGGTAACAAAGCTCTACAATGAACAGCTACCTGTAAGCATAGAGAAGAAGAAGGATCTAGTCAGTCTCTGTGTACTCAACGTTATACCAGAGGTGTTCCATTCTTTCTACAAGAATCTTGCGTCACATGATGAGGTGGAGCGTCTCCCGGAACCTGATGTCCAGGAAACAGAAGAGTAAGGACTGATGCGTGTGATCCACCAAACTTGCCAAATGATTACCAACATCCTTCTTCTTTCTTCTTCTTCTTCAAGATAATCTGCCTCCTTCAATACTGAAGATTCTTGCAGATGCCGTATACTCGGCCTGACTCTTATACGAATAGTGCAATGGGTTCTTAACGTGCAAGGGTGGTGACTCTCCTGTACACAGGGCCTCCATTTAACATCCTATCCGAGGGACGGAGTGTTTTCCACTTGACATAACCTGCGTCTATGAACAAGGGAAGGGGCACGTTAACACACAACGCAGACTTAAGTCATCCGCCTGGGTGGGAGTCGAACCCGGGATCTATGGTTCGACAGACGGACGCTTTACCGACTGAGCCAATATGAAATTTATACTTCTCTAATTTACAGGTTCTAGTCTTAATGATAAACCATTAATATAAAATCTAACACTGCATACTCCAACTACTTGAAATGACAGAAACTTTGATACCTCAATAAAAAAGAAAAAATATTCTAAGGTATAAAAAATAACTAAGGTCAAATCATCTGACACTAAGAACAAAAAAGCGGTTTAATAGATGTTTACTAATATTTTAGAAAATACTGTTGATGACTGTAAATGGCTTACACATAATGGGAAACGGCCTTTTAAGAACAAGGGCTTCATGTTGTTGGATACAAAAAACAAACAAAACAAAACCAGTTTTGCGATCATGCGCTTATTATTGTTAGAGAGTGAATAGAGAGCCTAGGTCAAAATCTGACAGAGAAATGGGTGGGGGGGGGGGGGGAGAGGGGGCTGCAGTGGCAAAGATACTTGTATACTTCTATTTCCTTGAAGAAAAATAAAGTCAATTTAAACACCATTTCCTATTGTTTAATTTGCATACCTTGTTTTGGTAATCATATTATATTTATGGATAATTATACAATTTATAATGTGCAACAACATACTTTCCTAATGAAATTACAGGTTAAATCAGAAATGCATAAAGAATTTGATCTTGATCAAAATATTTAGTACAAGCAATATGAAAAGGATAAATATTTGCATAATTATAGATATGAAATAGCTGAAAGAAAAATAGGTATGGCAGCTTTGTAAATATGTTTTCATATTTTATTGGCATATGTATGTAATCATTATTATTGTTATCATTATCATTATTATTATTATTAATATTATTATTATTCCACTGTAAGCCCCAAACAATTCACTTTTCTTCCTTTATTCCTTTCTTTCTTTCTTTCTTTCATTTATGGGGGTTTTTGTTGTTGTTGGTTCTGTCTTGATTCAATGTACTCTAAAATGAGAGATTTATTTCATGTGTGTCGTCACTGCTGATTTAATTTTAACCATTTCCAAATGAAAGAAAACATTAATAAATTGCAAAGTTACTATTTGTGTATAATAATTGTTTCGTAATATATAAAGTCCTTGTAATAGAATTCTATTGTCGATTTCCTCCGGAAATGTTACAGTTAATCATACTTAATATAAGATTTGGATGAAGTTGTTAATGAAAGTTAATAATAAAGTGATAGATTTATAAGAAATTACAATTGTATTAAGCTTCCAAGTGCTTGCACATGACAGAACTTTTTAATACCAGAAGCACTTCTCAGTTGAAGAACGTAGCAGAATTTACTCGCCTTATTATGTTGAAATTTTATCAAAAAACAGAGAAAGAAGATAGTTCAAGCATTTCAGGAAGTGCAATTAGAGCTGAACCTACACGTACTCGTAGCGGTAGGATAGTGAAACGGCCTACTTTGTTTACTATTTAGCTTGTAAATAGACTGCATTATACTTATACATGTATATATACTTTGTGTTTACTAGTTGGTTCATTGTTCATGTTTGTACTTTCATACACTTCATACCTATTATCGTTTGTATCTTTGTGTCATTATCTATGTATAATGTATAATAATTGTATTCACAAGTCATGCATTGTTATTTATACCTTTATGTTTGTTTGTACTCTAATACCCCGAGAGGGGGTCAAAGATTCAATAAAATTCTAAATTTTAAATTTCAATTCTAAATTGTAATCAAATGAACCATTATTTTTCATTGTATATACATTCAAATTCTGATAAGATTGTTGGCATTTTTATGAAATTCTTATCCTAAAATAATTTGATTGAAATGAAATATTAAAAGAAAAAAAAAATTGTTCGACCTGATATACTCGTATGAAAAGCTTTGTTCGTGTTTTGGTTTAAAGAAATGAAAATGAATCGGACGCTATTGACATTCATTTATTAAACTTTTTAAAAACTTTATATTTGTTATTAGTTTATGTATTTTGTGTCCCTTGTAGCTACCTTAATTGAAGTAAAGTATCAGTGACAAAATTATGACAAATGCTTTTGTAAACTGCAGGCACTGCGGGCGGCCAAGTGAAGTTATTGACTTTGCTATTTGACAGTTTTTCATGTCAAAATTGTTTTTTTATTTTGATAAAGAAAAAAAATTCTAAACTATTCAGGTAAAATTTCAGCCTTGTGTGAGTGTTGTTAACTAAAGAATAGTAATGATAATAATAGTATTATCATTATTCTTATTATTATGAACAATTTCACATCAGTATACTGTTGTGAAACTGTTCAAGTCCAAAGCGTCTCTTATAACACAGGTCGCTCGCTTCTCTCAATAAGCCATTTTCGTAATGTATTAAAATGCATCTCTTTGTATTCCCTCGATATATTTTATTCCTACTCATGAATAACTCTATGACAGTATGCAAAATTGCTTGCATTACGCGTTGTTAATGGCCCGGTCACACCAAACATATAGCAGTAAGGTATGCCGACGTATGTGAATTTTCACCAACACGCTAGTGCACGTTGAGTTAGGGGTAGGTTCATTTGGTATACTGTTGTATACGTTAAAGGCACGCTGGTATAAGCTGGCATACGTTTATGTACGTTTAGGCCGAGATAAATTTGTGAGCATGCTCAAAAAATTGGGGCGTATCGTCCTCTTCATAGGTTAGGCATACGTTAGGCATACGTTACACATACGCTAGACACACGTTAAATACGTTAGAGGTGGGTAACTCATACGTCGACATACGTTTTATGGTTTGCCACTTAATTAAAGGTAAAGACCAGTTATGGTCATGCGATTGCATTGTGAAAGAAACGTTGCGGAATCGATCAGAAAAGGTTGATCATCTAGCATCTAGCTGCTAGCATCTGCAAGGTTCTGGAATCATCAAAATGATAAGAAATTTGGCCCATTCTTGGTAAATTTACAAGCACTATACACAGAAAGATGTATATGGGACTACCCTATATCTCTCACAGACCATGATAGAAACAAATTTACCAAATATATGAATTAGTAGGCGGTTTCCCGGCAAATTTTTTATCATCGTGTATTAGTCAAAACATATTCTTTCACATGATTGGTAATGAGAGCTTCCATTTCATTTTTTGAAATTGGGGCGTTTCCAATACTGGTCTTAACCTTTAAGATATATTGGATAATTGTGAAGAAGAACGTGAGAAGACACATTTCCCCACTCGGGTTTTAGTTTCTTTACATTTTGTATACCAAGTAAGCCCCCTATCCCCAAACATGCCAAATAATTGGACTCACCCCTCGCCGCTAATTTGCATAATTATAATGGATTTGAATGAACTTTGACATTCAAGTGGAAGATCTGTAGGCAATACGAGCAGGCAATAGGACATGGTGAAATAAAAGAAATTTCCAATTTCTGCTCGTTTCCAACACATGCAAATCTGCCTTCTATGTTTTATAAAATGTCCATCACATTCGTAGCTACTAAGACCGGAAAACACGGAAAGCCTTGTCCTTGCATGTAATAGCAGTAGGCTTGATTATTGTAATGGATTATTGTTTGACTTGCCATATCTACAATTAATCAAGTTACAGCGTGCTCAGAATGCATGTACAAGACTTTTATCCAATTTCATAAAAACGTTCCCCTATCACACATGTTTTTAGTAAGGTTACATTGGTTGCCGATGAGGCATAGTATTGCGTGCGAGATACATTTGCTTGTTTACATAACGTTGAACGGTGAAAGCCCCAATTTACTTGGGTATTTGTCCGTTTGTAATAATAATAATAATAATATGTCTTGTTTACCCAGGGTAGCCTCATCAGTATTCATACTGTTCTCTCTGAGGGCCCTGCAATCCTATTATTACCCCGGTCATCGGATTCAGGCTTACCCGTACACAATGTGTTCACATTTTCCACTCCCTAGGGAGCATTCCAGCCAGTGCATCATTTTTACAAGCGCACACTTGCTAATCTAAGCACATTAGCTTTCGCATCCTACCGGGTACCCATTTAACACCTGGGTGGATAGGCTGTCTTACAGAGAGGAAATCTTATAGGAATATTTTGATTGCATTAGTCATTCGATGAAGGGTTGTGAGCATGGGTGTCGATCCCGGGGGGGATGGGGGGGGGGGGGATATATCCCCCCCCAATATTTCAGGTGTGGGGGGGGGGGGGATGGCCTGTACAATCATCCCCCCTCCCAATAATTCACCATCAAAAAAAAAAAAAAAAATTAATGAGGAGAGCCCAATGACAGTAGTTAAAGATGAAGTTGAGTTCTGGTCATGCGATTGCATTGTGAAAGCATCGGTGTGGAATCGACCAGAAAAGGTAATCATCTAGCATATAAGAATTTGTGTGCATTGCAAGGTTCTGGAATCATCAAAATGATAAGAAATTTGGCCAAGTCTTGGTAAGTTTCAAACACTGTACACAGAAAGATGTATATGGGACTACACGAACACGTGGCGTAAAAATCCTACCCCCGAGTTTTACGATGTTACATGACATATTTCGAATATGAAGGCATTTGAAGAGCCATGCTTTTCAGGGAACATGTCTTATATGATGTTCTTCCACACTTGCATAATAAGAATGATAATGCTCACAAATTATTTTTCACCTCTTCCCAGAACTCAACCTTCTCTTTAATGGTTATTACTCACAAGATGACCATCAATATACACATTTTGCTATCAAATTTTCATAAAACATACATATATAAATAGAAAACGAAGTAAATGAGACGACCATTCATGAGACATTTATTCAATTTATTCAATCAACAGCATCATAGAAATGCAGTGCGCCAAATGCAAAGCCGCAGCGTTAAAAAGCAACGAGCTTAGTAAATGTTAAGCGCGAAGCGCAAAAGTGCAAAAAAGAAGAAGAGAGTGGAAGAGAGAGATAATGAGAGACAAAGAGGATACAGGCGCGTAGCCAGAGGGTGGTGGGGGCGATCGCGCCCCCCCTAAAAAAAAGCCGACCAAAAAGGAAAGGAGAGAGAAAGAAGAAAGGAAGAGGACGTAGGAAAAAAAAGAATTAAGAGTCGAGAACGGTACAACGAATCTTCTTCTTTCTCTAATAATTGAATGAAACGTCAAAGCTTCCGCGCTTCGCGCGGGAAAGGGGGGGGGGGGGAACAGAATTCAGACAAGGATTAAGAGTCGAGAATGGTACAACGAATTGATTCTTTCTCTAATAATTTAATGAAACGTCAAAGCTTCCGCGCTTCGCGCGGGTAAGAGGGGGGGGGGGGGGGGAACTGAATTCAGACAAGGATTAAGAGTCGAGAATGGTACAACGAATTGATTCTTTCTTTAATAATTTAATGAAACGTCAGAGCTTCTGCGCTACGCGCGAAGGAAGGGGAACTTCATTCAAAAAATTATTAAGAGTCAAGAACGGTACAACGAATCGTCTTTTTTCTTTAAAAAATTTAATGAAACGTCAGAGCTTCCGCGCTACGCGCGAAAAGAGGGGGAACGTCGTTAAAACAATTATTAAGAGTCGAGAACGGTACAACGAATCGTCTTCTTTCTCTAATAATTAATGAAACGTCAAAGCTTCCGCGCTACGCGCGGAGAAAGGAGAAACTCCCCCTCCCTGCAACCACCCCCGGGAGCGCGCTTCGCCTGCTCACTAACGCCCCCCTAAAATATTATCCTGGCTACGCGCTTGAGAGGATAATAACCCAGGTAGCAAGCCCATGTGCGACCCACATGGGTCCCATATTCTCTGAAATCTTATCTTTATTGAGGGTGACTATAAAAAGTTAATAGTTGGTAGGGAGGGGGTGCAACCTGCCATACGCTTCAACCTCTTGGTTGCTTTGATCCATTGCCGAAAATATTTTGGCACCTATCATCCCCCCAACCACGGATACAAATCGACACCCTTGACTACTACTACTAATACTAATACCACTACAACAACTACTACTACGGCTACTGATGGTAGTTATAATAGTACAAATATTAGGCAGTTGTACTGCGCCATCAACTTAGAACTTCTATTTAGAGGTGCACAAGGAGAAATAGATTAGAATAAGAGTCTGAATAACAGAGGCCTGTGCTTATTTGGAGCTCTGCGTTTAAGATACAGAGATGTGAAGTTCATTACACTTAACGTCATCACAACGACAACAAAACTACTGCAGTTTACCGCTAAATATCTGAACGCGTTATGTACACAAATATGAGAGGCATAGACCTTCTATGCTGTGATAGAAAGAGATTGATATATTTTCAAGGGAATATAAATAAAGACTAAAAATATAACTGTCCTGCGAAACTGCTACTGGCCATTATTGGATCAGAATACCTATACCTAATTGCTTTGATTATGTTATCTAAACATGTAAAAGTTTGTGTGGGTAAAGAGAATGTACGTGCGTAAGGTTTAACATCAGATATTTATAAAAATGTTTCCTCTTCTCCTCATCTACATATTCAGCGATTCCCGGTACAAAATCGACAAGTTCTGGTACCACTTCTTCAATCATCCCCACCATTGAAACCACTCCTGTTATAACTGAAGCTACTACTAGTGCTACCACTCCTGCTCCCACTACCGTCCCCCCTCAGCCGATTCCGTCTTCTGCCATAGAGAGCTTCTTCTACACCAAGGTTAACAATGACGTCCCTACAACATTGGTTTGTGTCGTGACAGGATCACCTCCACCGACCTCTGAAAACATCAGCGTCACCTATGCAGCCGGTGGAGATGAAGGAATTGTCCTTCTGGAGACCAATGTCAATGAATCAACCAGGACATCCCGGTACCAGGTTAGGGTGAGTCTCGCTGAGGCACCCCAGAATTTCAATTGTCTTTTGCGCAGACTGGACGGAGAAAGTGTCTCGAAAGATCTGGCTGTCTCTGTTTATGGTAAGTAATTCTGAACCTCAATAGCATTTTGTAATAGCAATGCATTGACGAGCATCAAAGTTTGTACCTTTCTGAAATACTCTCAGAGTAAGAAAACTGTTACGTTTTGATATACAATGTACTTACAAAATGCCAGAAACTATATTCATTCGTATTCGCCCCTGTGGACATTTCTCCTGTATCAAAAACATAGGATAACTTGAATAAGACTTGCATATGATTTTCTGTTTCGTTTTCCTTTTGTCGTTGTTGTTTTTTGTTTATTTGTCGAAGATTATTTCCAGATGTTGGTGCGAGGTGTGTCATAGGGGGTTGAGATATAACATTTATGTCATACACAACATTCATGATTTCTCTGTAACAACCATTACATTTTTGTCTAAATACAAAGTCTTAAAATTTGATGGCTTCATAGAACCTTTTTTTAAATTCAATTTTCGTTTCAGAACCTCCAAGCTTTGTTGAAGCTAACATACTGGTCCAAGACATGACATCTCACTCAATCACCATAAGGTGGACACCTTGGATTGAGAATAATGATCGTGGTAATGGGCCTGTGATTGGATATCGAGTCTACTACAACACACCCGGACAGGATGACATAGCCAGCGCTTCAGGAGATCTCATCAGAGATACACATTTCACGATCACTAATTTGACACTAGACACAGAGTATGATTTCAGAATGACTGCTTCTAGAGAGGGGCCAGCTGGTGAAGGGACGTACAGCCAAGTAGCTAGTGCTAGGACAAAGTGTACTGGTAAGAACAGTATACTATTATCATGAAAATTAATAATGGGTAGATCATCAACATAATTTTAACGGGCGCAGTCGGGATGGAGTTCACTCGTTGACGTCGCTCGCATCTTTCAATCGTGACCTTATATTATTAACACCTTCTAACATAATGTAATCATTTTTGGGAATTCTTTAATAAGAAAATGGGGAATTTAAAGACTCTAGGGTATAGATGTTGGCTAGCCTAAATTAATGCTCACGCAAGGCCATGGCCAAGTCACAAACGCATACAATTACACTCTTACAGTCTCTGCGAGAAAAGAGTATCGAACATTGATTTTTAAGTAAATGATGTTTATTCAAAAGAAACATGAAGGTGGTATCCGATATATTAACTTGCCACAACCTATTTACTCACATGTATACTGGTTCTTTCCCTTTTTGGCTTTAAAAACTCCCGAGCAACATCTTCCCAGCTCCTTCTAAATACTTCAAACTCGACTCCGAAAAGTACCTCGGCCTCAGCTCCAAACTTTTACACACTCCCCAAAACCTTGCCCAAATTAAAGCTAGTCTCCCAATTCAGACCTCCCTAGCAATCGGTGGAGCATCCAATTTCTGTAACAATAATTTTGAAATTACGGGCAATTATATCATTGAAAATTGTTGGTGGGTAAAGTAAGTTAAATTATGAAATTAATCTGTTGTCAAAAATTGTACAAAGATGTTGAAAATAAAAGCACTCAACCAAGCGTTAAAGGTACTATGTCCCATTTGCAGGCCCAACAAAATGAAAAAGTTAAATTCCAACGGCATTTGAAAGATAATAGTAATTTAGAACTTCCCTAAAAAAAGTGGGGCTTGAAAATGTCTTCAATTGGGAAAATAACGACTATTAGTTGTCAAATCGACTTAGGAGCTATAGAGTCAATAAGTAATAGTCTTGATTTTCAGACCATTGCACCGAATGGTCATACGTTTTATGCTGTGCAAAGATTCAATCAGTTTAATGTTGGCCATCACAAAAAGTGGGTTATTGATGTAGACAAATGCTCATGTACCCTTTACAGCTCATTTTATGTATGTTATTACCAAAGAAGAAAAGAAGCCAGTCAGTCACTCAATAGTGGCTGGCAGTGAAGTCTACCAAGTAAACGGGTTTCCTTGCATAATTTGAATATTAGGACACTGCTAACGTTTCAATTTCACAGATAGGACATACATGACATATTCATAACTTCTGCAAAGTTCTACAGAATTTGAGGTTGGCTGCAAAAGGGACATAGAACCTTTAACTCGCAGGTTCCGCCATTGTCATTTCTCGAGAGTATATTGTGGCGAAATTACCATAAGTAATGATAAATATTATAAAAATAACAGTTTAGTTTATTTGATATTATGATTACCTTTTCTCTTGACCATTAGGACCTTAACAGCGATCCTTTGAGGTTTCAAATTTGTTTATTGTTAAATTTCCCGCTCTCAAATGTTAGGCTGGTAAATATGGACTCACTGTAGTGAATTCACCCTAAAGGCAAAATAATTTGTACACAGTACAATATTCACGTGACATGAATATTGTATAGTTATTTGTATTAACCAGCAACTGAATTACAACCAAAACAACTTAATTGTCTTCGTTTTGTTGTAATTTTTTTTGCAGCACCTTCTCAGGCGCCTGTTTTGTCTGTGAGAAATAGAGGTCAAACACCCATCACTTTGGATTGGGAGGTGAGCTAAGAATGACTTCAATGCATTTAATTTCTTATTATTACTATCAAGAAGCACATTTCAGTTCAATTTACTTCATTCAATAATTAAAATTTGCTTAATTGGAAGAAAAAACAAAGGATTTAACTTTTCAGTATGCGCGCTTATAAACGGATCTAAATACTTCAATTTAAAATACACAGAGATACACATTGCAAAAAGTCCTCTCGAAGTATCATTTTTTACATTAATTAGTTTGGATAAAGCGTTTTGTATGTTTACTCTGTATAATTATATAAAACATAAGAAATCATCAATGAAGATTTGTCCGGATTATATTGAAAATCTAAGGTTTGACGGTAAATGTGGTAATTTTACATTTCGCTAATTTGTCAAATTGGCGCACTATTAAATTGTTTCCTATTCATATTACTATCAGGTAATACCAGAGGGATCATGGGGATGCAGTGCCCTTTCTGGATTAGCAATCAATGTTAGCACCAATGGACAAAATGGCTTGCCTCGAACCTTGTCATTTGATACTACGGCAGGTACTGCTAACATTGGACAGCTTGAGGATTGTAGTACGTATAACATCAGCGCAGCATTTAGAAACAAAGACGAGCTGGGGATCTATTCAGAAATGTTGTCAGTGAGCACGTCTTTGATACGTAAGAAAATGTGTTTTCTTATTTATATGTTTATTTGCGTTGAGTTGTACAATGATAACGCTTGAGCTGAAATACATTTACAATACCTTATATTCGCTTATTCATTATGGCAAGTTAGTTTGTTTTCTACTCCTTCTTTATCCTTGACAGATGATAGAAAATTAACCAGAAAGACTATATCATTACGCTTAAAGTGAAATGTATATCATTGAATCATTTAGTAAATTTTAAGAAAACAGGAAATTTCAGGAGTACATGGTAGTCAAATATGGTCTAAATGCTATCATCATTCAATTTTTTCTTAACATTTTCTTTCAATTTGCAAATTGCAAGTTCCGTTATACCTGTATATTTCAAATTCATTTCCAGGACCCGCACGTGTAGAAACCTTACAGATGTCTGCTTCAACCACACAAATGGAAGTAAGCTGGGCACTATCATCTAGCATATGCTCCCCTGACTACTATATCATACGCTACAGTCTCTATCAGAAGCTTGCCTGCCAATCCCCAGAAACCACCCCAACAGAGTTTGAAGTGAACACCAACGCCAAACAATTCAATAATCTAGTGGGGTTGGAGCCTTACTCGCGATACCAGATCACAGTTACAGCTGTAAATGGTGCCGGGCAGAGTGAACCCGCGATTGGCTATTCAGATACCAGGCCAGGACGTAAGTTATGAACTAATAAGCAAAATATCCTTTCCCCATAATAGTTTTAAGAAATGTACAAGGTGATGTATTATGTTATCCGTGTTGTAATTAAGCATATTGGATATAATATAAAGGAACAAAGTTGTTATTGGTCCAAATTAAGCTCGTCACGTATTTTCGATTGCGAGTATCGTAATAAAAATATTTCCCTCCCGCTTATGAAAATATACCCCCTTGCTAAAATATAAGTCCAAATAATACTATATCATATACATTACCAGTCAAAATCCGTATAAGATTCCATGCATATATACGCATTGATTTAAAGAATAAAATATTCACGAATTTTGCTTTATTTCAATTTTGAATGGTACAGAATTGTTGCGATGTAAATCCCCTTCACCCCTCACGCTAGCCTTACTACGTAAGCAAACAACACGTCAAGTTTGATTTACATATGTTCACTTATATCTCTGATTCACTTTAGCACCGTCCAACATTACAAATGTCAGGGTTAATCCAGAAAGAACGTCTCCAACACGATTAGGATTCACCTGGCAACCTCTCAACTGTAGAAATGTGAATGGAGTCTTCTGGTACTACTTTGCAAGAATCTACAAGGATGGTGATGTGAGTAATCAAGCGAGTGGGAGGACATACTTGGATGATGACATTTCATACTCATCAGTAGAGTTCAATGGTCTTGAGGCTTGCACGGTGTATGAACTAAATATCAATGCCGTCAACCGTGGTGTGTTTACTCCTGGAAATCTGTCTCATGCTATCGGTGTAACGGGAGTCACTTGTAAGTGTCAACAAGTACAAAGATAATACATGTTATAACCACCCTTATGATGCCACATTACCCTGCTTTGTGTACGCACTCTAAATATATTAATTTCGTTCAAAAACTGCGTAGTAAAAGATCCACATTCTTATCGTGATACCAAGGTTTCTTTACAACTAGGGTGTAGTATACACTGTCGCTCATAAAGTTGGAATATTTTTGTTTTACCCCAATTTATGGAATTATTTCAAAAATGATTTAAAAATAATAGATCTAGATAATAGTATACATTCTCAGATTTTATTGAATAATAATTTGACAATGTGTGTTTTGCGTGACTGCTAAAGCATGTGTATGATACTATGCTTATCAACTAGGGGACCTACGCCCTTAAGTCATAAATGACAGTAACGAGGATTAATGCCCCACAAAAGGGCACTAATATAGCACATAGACACGCTTTGATCCTGGGGCCTCACAGTTACGAGGCCATTGCTTTGTCACTGAACCATGACTGTACGCAGCGGGGGCTAGGGTAGGGGACAGTTTCCTTAAATAAAAAAACACAAAGAAAATGCAATAAATTTTCCATAATTTATTGCATTTTACCCCGGTTTCCAACATTAAAAAATCATCTGTGTGCCCATGCCATGAGCCATAATGCATGTTATGGTTATTGGTCGGTGTAATGTTACCCTTTTAGAATACAAGCCGCCCTCCTGAGATTTACGCTATTTCGCAATATTAAAAAATGAAAATATTCTCTCTATTTGTTTTGAATATAGTCACAAGTGCATCCGCTTATGCAACTGAGGATCAACCCGGTCTGATAGTTAATTGGCGTGTTCCGTCTCAATGTAATGTGGATTACTACAGATTATCATATCAACTCATCTCACGTAAGGCATGTCAAGATGCTCCTGTAATAGATGCTCCAGTCTACGAACTCAACATCACATCAAATACCACATATGTCTCCGAATACCTTTTAGACTTGGAATATTACGCAACTTATAGCATCTACATCATAGCTATGATAATGAGAACAGAGAGTCTACCTATGAATGTTAATGGAGACACACAAGATGGAGGTATGTAAACAATTATGCTAATACTAGCGTTTACTATGAGGAGGGCACTTGCTCCGGGTGGCACTTGAAGGCAGGCGCGCCGGAAGCAGTTTGGGATTGGGGGGGGGGGGGGCAACATTCCAGGGGGCTCACCTTCCAGAGGCAGTGGCGTAACGAGCAAAAACGTTGGAAGGGGGGGGGCAGAAGCAAAATCTGCATCACCACCACTCTTACGCGTTGCATGCAGGACCCGCGGAACGTTTTTCAAAGTGGATTATTAACGATCAGGCAGAGCGTAAATTGCCGTGGGGTCCAGGGGCTGAGCCTTCAGGAGCTCAGGGTTTTTTAGGCATTAAAATTATGGTCAGATGAGCATACAGTGAACCGCCTTAGGGCCCTTGGTGGGGTCTGGGGCAGAGCCCCCGTAAGCTCTAGGGTTTTCGGCATTTAATTACGGTCAGATGAGCATCCAGGGCTCCGCCTTAGGGCCCTTGGTGGGGTCCAGGGGGCAGAGCCCCCGGAAGCCCGGGGGTTTTAAGTATTTAATTACGGTCAGATAAGTATACAGGGTACCGCCTTAGGGCCCTTGGTGTTGAAGCATCCGTTTTAATGACTGATGTTGCAAGATCTGTAGTCATTCCTTCGGTATAAACGTCAGTTGTAAGATCTGTAGTGTAGTCAGTGGTAGAGACTGTAGTAATAGGTTTAGTCAAATCTTTTGTGACGTTTCCATTGGAAACGGTTGTTAAATCTGTTGTGAGATCGGTTGTTATACCTGTGGTAAAATCTGTTGTAAAATCAGTGGTAAAATCTGTAGTTACATCTGTAGTTAAGTCTGTAATATACTCTGTTGTTAATTTGGTTGTAAAATCGGTGGTAAAATCAGTGGTAAAATCAGTGGTAAATTTGGTTGAAGAATCAGTGGTAAAATCTGTTGTGAAATCCGTAGTTGTAAACTGAGTTGTAAAATCAGTAGTCATATCTGTAGTGAGATCAGTTGTAAACTGAGTTGTAAAATCAGTAGTCATATCTGTAGTGAAATCAGTTGTAAACTGAGTTGTAAAATCAGTAGTTATATCTGGGGTTAAGTCTGTAGTATATTTGGTTGTAAAAGCAGTGGTAAAATCTGTAGTTACATCTGGGGTTAAATCTGTGGTTAAATCTGTAGTAAATTTGGTTGTAAAATCAGTGGTAAAATCAGTGGTAAATTTGGTAGTAGAATCAGTGGTAAAATCTGTTGTGAAATCCGTAGTCATATCTGTAGTGAGATCAGTTGTAAACTGAGTTGTAAAATCAGTAGTCATATCTGTAGTGAGATCAGTTGTAAACTGAGTTGTAAAATCAGTAGTCATATCTGTAGTGAAATCAGTTGTAAACTGAGTTGTAAAATCAGTAGTCATATCTGGGGTTAAGTCTGTAGTAAATTTGGTTGTAAAATCAGTGGTAAAATCTGTAGTTACATCTGGGGTTAAATCTGTGGTTAAATCTGTAGTAAATTTGGTAGTAAGCTCTGGGGTTTCAGGCATTTAATTACGGTCAGATGAGCATATTTTGATACCTCATTTGTGACATTGGCCGGTCACTTATTTGTTTTCTCTCTCTTTCTTTCTTTTTCTCTGTAACAAACTTTTTCAAAACGTGAGGGGGGCTCAAGCCCCCGAGTCCGGCAATTTTGTAGACCCTGACAAAAAGGCTTCTAAATAAGCAAATTTTCACCCGATTGTAATTTTGGGAATTTCTAATTTTCCAACAAACGCATAAAAAGGTATGACTTACAAAAAAAATGACAAAAAATACCGGAATATCATGTCATTTCAGCAACATTTGTAAATCACTGGTATCGAATACAAAATAACGCCCCCCCCCCTCCCCCCATCAGTACGCCAGCGTTCAGGGGCTCATGAGCTTCTCACCACTACAATGTATAACAAAAAACAGACGCGCTTTCCCATTCTCTCACAATATGTCCACGATATGCGCGTATCGCTATTATAAAAACCTCCATTGATAAATATAGGTAGCATGCGCAATGTTTAGGAAATTTAATTCCTGTTAACTTTCCTTTTCTTTGAATGGAATTTTATACGTCATTTAATTCAGGTTTTTATTATTGCTATGTTCTTTTGGGTTAAAAATACAAACCATCTTTACTCCTTTACTGCTTTTATTTTTGAGGGGGGCGTGTTGGAGGGGGGGAATGCGTTTTGCACCCCCCCCCCCCACTTCCAGGGCCTATGCTTGAAGAGAGTGCAAAACACGCAAAAGAGAAAGGGTATAAAGAGGAGATAAATATCATTATAATATAAAGTCTTAATTTGCATAACAAATTTTCATTAGAAATATTTTTCGTATTAAAGTTTCAAATGCAAAATGTTCTAAAGCTTGGTCGCCTTGGTCGCCGCGTATGTTCCTTCAGGTCCCGAAATTTCGCGCCCTTCTCTTAAGGGTTCAAGTTTTATTTTAATGCAAATTATCATCAGCCCTTTAAAAATATAAGATTAAGGGCAATTGCAAAACCATTTAAAGTGATTTGGAATTGTTAAATATTTGAAAGAAATATTGTCACTTTCCGTGATGATTAATTCAATTTTTTTGATCTGGTTTAATTAATTACATCCGAATTCCTTTTTTATATTTCTGATTTGGATTTATATCTACTAACATTTGCTACGTTGTTAATTGACAATTCAACACTGTGATTTTCTTCACAGACCCCTCTGCTATCGAGTCAGTGTCGTACACCTCTACTGCCCACTCCTTGCGCTTTGTGTGGGAGGAACCCTCTTGTGAAAGCCTACTTGGTGTCTTTGGTGGCTTTGACTACGAGCTCTTTGGTGGGCAGAGAACTGCCCGGTATATCTTGTACACACGAAGGAACTTTGTACACATAACTGGTCTTGATGCTTGCACAGAATATCGCTTCAGAATAAGAGTAGTTACTACCCAGCTGAGAAGGAGCGATTGGCATATGGAAATGGCAATGACTAATATATCAGGTTTGAGAAATTAGATATAGGCCTAGCGCAAAGAGCATACTGTGATATGAGGCATATTATTATTTTATTGGTTATAAATACGTGAATTATGCAATTTTTCCGTTGTACACATTGCACTCTAGGCGATTAAAGAGTAATTGTTTATAATATAAAGTATGGGGGAACTGTATGTTTCAAATTCCAATTTATATCGGTTTTGCTACAGGCCATCTCTTAACGTTGCTCCAGGATAGGTAAATAGCTTTTGCTGCTGTAAAGGCTTATAAAATATACAAATCTAACATAAATTAGAAAAAATAAATTAATTGGAGTCAATACATATGCTAAAGATAGAGATTAGATTGTAATCACAGTGTAATCAATTAATTATTGGGAACCTGAATTGGCCCGTATGAAATGTTTATTCCTTCCTTTCTGAACACTTATCAGCTCCTGGAATGCCAGTTATTACAGAGCTTACCCCGCATCAGGAAGACAGTGGCACTACTGGTCTAACAGTAACATGGCAACCTCCTTCCTCACCTCCATGCCAGCCTACACATTATGAAATCAAGTACTATGTTCTTCGAGGCGATATGTGTGAGGATACCTCGAGTGATCGTATAATGATTTCAGCAGGGACCGTCAATGGTTCAACTTTCACCTTCAATGTCCTGGAGTTGCGTCCCAACTCTGAGTACATGGTGTTCGTGAGAGGCAGAACCAGTAGCGGTTATGGCGATTCAGATTCCCAATCAGCTACTACAGGATATTCATGTTAGTATTGTGTGTGGGTGTATGTGTGTATGTGTATGGACGGGTGGGGTGTGTGTTTATGGTGTGAGTATGAGGGTGTGTGTGTGTGTGTGTGTCCCTCTGAATCAGCTGTAGGAGAAAACAGTGAGTTGACAGTACTGCTAGACCAATTTACAGCTCGTGATCTACTTTATACGACGCTAGATTTAAGTAAGTTCTTTATTTGACTAATTTGAATACAAGGGGAACCATAATTCTAACTGGTAGTTGAACGAATATACTTTGAATAAGACCTTGCAAAATATCAGTGGAGAATATGTTATATGAAGTGAGCTGGCCTGGAATTTCAGTTTAAAAAAGGTATACTACAGGGGGTTTGAGAATGTTTACGAAGACAACATGTAGATTAGCTGATAGGAAGGAAATGTAGATCGAGTACAAATTGAAGAATAAGAAAAATGAATGAGAATGAGGTTTCCTCCCCTATTTTACAGATCCTACTGGTCCTCCAACTAATATCCAGTCCACTTCCACCAAGAAACGCAGTATTGTCTTCTCTTGGGAGAAACCAGAATGTGGTCATCGGAATGGACCAATCTCAAGCTACGAAGTTATGCTCTCCAATTATACAGGTAACCTAAATATGAAATAGGGTATGAATACTAAATATGGTGAAATCCCAGAGATTGCTTGTTTGAAAGTAAAGTTTAAATTTTAAAAATCTATCTTAAAGGGTACCTGTCCTTGGCATCATCCTTGGTAGTGCTTCTACAATTCATTAAATACATATAAATTGTACTCATTTCGTGTGTTAGAATGATAAAGGATAATTTCATCTATAAAATGTCAAGGTAAAACCTTGACAGCATAGATCTCCTAGCTGAATTGCTTGCTGTTGCTGAATGAAAATATGTTCTAGTGTCATATTTCTTGGCAAAAACTGACCTGCTTTTTTTTCTCTGGTAGATGAAATTGATAGATTCGACGAATAACACTAGATAACACCGAATAGATAAATATTTTTGTTTATTCTAAGCGCCAACCAATGTAGATTTTTTGCAATTATTTTTGGAAATAATAATAATAATAATGACACTAATTTCATTTAACGCACAGGTGGTATTGTCTAACTCAGTATAATCATTCAACATGAGTTTTTGTGTGGATATACCTTTAGGATATTCTGAACGTAGAATCTCGATTAATGATGAATTATGGTATGTACTGAAGTACTGCTGTAAGCTAGAGGGTGTATTTGTCAGTGATGTGTGGATAAAAATAGTTAACCCGGTGGCAGTTAATGGTTTGCATTGTTCTATTCCAGGGGCCTCATTTCGAGATTTCCTTAAAAAAATAATCAGTCTAGCTATGTTTCCGATGTACTAGCTTTATATTTCAGATTAAAATTTACGCATAATGTTTTGTAAAGGTGTTGTAGTCTAATAGATAAGTCTCCGGACTGTAGACCACAAGGTACGGGATTCAAATTCCAACACGACACTAATGTAATTTAGCAAGACGTTACACTTGCCACACTCTACTCAATTATAAATTTGTACATGATATGCTCGGCTATAAGTAGGGTAATAACTGTCTAAGGGACAAGTTTCAAGTTTCAAGTTTATTTATCTTTCTTTCATAAAACACATTACACATATGACATGAATATAAAAGAGTGAACAGAATATGGCGTTACAATATAAAGATGAGGTGACCTTGGTTGAAAGCAAGGCTTGTGGATTTAAGGTCCCTCATGAGTAGTTTATGAGTATGTCCAAAAAGAACAAACTCATCAGATGAGAATAATGCGTACATTTAAATGCTTACAAAACTAAACTAACTAAACAACTGATAAAATATTAAACATAAATAAGTACAATAAAATCTACTGACTACTAAATAATGACTATAAACAACAGGAACAGGAATATACTACGAGTAAAAGGACTGAAGCACAGACAAAAACTAAACAAGACAGACAGATGAAAAGATGTGAGAAACGGGAGTAGAATTATGCTGACCTATATAGCAAATAATTTTCTTAAATATTGATCACAACTATAAATCTAGACGATATCGACTCAAGAAGATGAGCGTCACTGTGTGATGCATATGAACACTTTAAGAGAAGCCATTATTATTATTCTTGTTGTTCATTTTCAGGAGACGTGGTTTATCATGGTATTGTGTCAGGACCTGAGCGTGAGATATTTGACCTCATCCCCTATTCGAATTACAGCATTAGGATCAGAGCTTGGAACTATGAACTAGCAGGGGAATATGGTCCCGCGATTTGGGCACAGACAGATGAAGCAAGTAGGTCTCACAATGCATGTCTACCAATTCTATTTTGATAACGACGAAGAAAAAAATCGTTAAGGACGAAAATTATATCTTTTTAAAAATATAGCTGTTTGGTAACAATGTCAACCGTGTATGTATAGAACCAGAAATACATCTCTTCGAAAAATCATGGTGTACTAAAGATTTTGAACATTTAGACTTGATCATCTACAGGAACTAAAGTTATGAGAACATGTACAATCCCTTAATTTTCTTGTTGTTGTTACATCATTCATCTTTTTTTCATCCCCTCCCCAAACGAAAGAAAAAAGAGCATAGAGAATCTTTCCCTTTTAAATAAATGGATCCCTAATTAAGGATTTATTTCCAGTCATAAATAAGACGTAATAGAGTAATCTTGAATTCTAGATTTCGTGCACCCAAAACCCTTATTGACAGCTGTCCAGGGTGGGTTACTGTCTCTGGGTGTGCGTATGTGCTATGTGCGAGTACAATAAGATAATATCATTGCTTCAAAATATGTTGCTTCTTTCGAAGTCACAGTCAATGTAATAATCATCTAAATTGTTAACATTACTTGTTGAAATCTACCTTCCGCCAACCTAGGTTCACTATGAGGATTTTTTTAATTGATAATAACCGACAGAAAACGAAACATGATATTCTTTTATATTACTTCCGATGTGTTATAGACCATTAAGTTGTTCCGACAATAATTATCCCACGACTTTTCTCCATGATGTTTACATTACAGAGCCGGCGCCGCCAATCGGAGTAAAGCTTCCATCTTCCGACCAGGAAAGCATCACAGTAGAATGGATGTCACCGAACCCTCCTCTAGGCAAGATAATAGGTTACTACATTCTCTACTGGGAGACGTTTAGTAATAGTTCCACGCCCAGAAACGTCAGCATCTCGTGTCGGGACGGGCGTTGCTCTGACATTAACTACAGGCTTTCCGCAGTTATTCTCGAACTCCAGGCAGACACGAATTATTCGGTTCAGGCAAGTGTGATTCCTGAAGGCGTTTTCTAAAGGGATTCCGTATATTGAAAATGGGATATAAAAATACTTTTTCATAAGTATTGTGATAACGGACCTATGGTTTAAATTAGTATTCATCCGTAAAAAGAGTTTCTGTTGACAATGTCTGCAGAGATGGCATCTTCAATCTTGCGTCTAGCTAAGATAACTAAAAGATGTAAGGTTTCACGATATGTTTGTTGTAAGACAGCTCATTATAGAACTTAAGGGATGACATTTAATAGATGATGTGGGACCAAACCAGGAGAAGCAATCTGTAAGTTTCCTGATTTTTCTAATGAAATATATATATATATATATATATATATATATATATATATGAGTATGGTGCAGAATTTCTTTTACACCATCTTTGTATCTATATATTCTTTCTGATGAAATGCTTTTATAATAAACAATTCATGCTAAATGGAAACAGTGTCAGGAGGTCCATAACGTTTCCGTCCATCCATTCAAGGTCAATCTCTAAATTGTTCTTAAATTGTTTTACTCTGCATTAGTACTTTTCTGCTCTTCATCTCCCTTTTATATCACAATGTTTTTCTTTCAACTATACAGGTCATGGCGGAGACCATTCGTGGTGTTGGTGACTCAAGCCCGGTCCCACCCGTTGTCAGGATTACATCAGAAGGAAGTACGATATTTATCTTCTCATTTCTATAATGTCCCAAGTATATAGATCATTCTGGACATATTATCACCCCCTCCCCCCCCCATTTCAGAAAAGGAAAATAAAGAAAGAACGTGGAAACAAAAGCTCTAACAATGACCTGTTCATAGAACACGATCGCAGAGACTTTCAAGAAATCAACTCAAGGACAATTTCAATACCATATTGTATTAGTATTAGCTATGTAGAATTCATCTTTAGAATACGTAAGAACGCCATTGAAGTGTTCGGAAGGATATATTCTGTTGAGTATATGTTCAGGAATATTAGGCTTATTGCACAAAAAAATATCACTTTAGACAAACAGTTTTAGTTGAGTAAGAGAGGGAATAATTACACAGATGACACAGATGTAGACATAAATTTGGAGAACCATATTGAAAATCCTTCAGCCAGATCTTGGACTTAATAATTAATAATAATATGGTTATTTATATAGCGCCGGTATCCGTCAGGTTTTGACGCTCATGGCGCTTTACACATATTACCCTGGTCAGTAACTAGCGCGCAAGCCTATCAGGTACCCATTTACACCTGGGTGGAGAGTGGCAAATGTAGATCAATGTCTTGTCAAAGGACATTAGTGCTGCGGCGGGACTTGAACCCCGTACCTTGTGATTTGCATTCGGGTGACTTATCCACAACACCTCTACAATTTAACCTTCAATTTAAATAAAACGAATCTACAGTAGATGTTAAAACACTGAAATTATCTGCACAAATACAACGCAAACCAATGCATAGAGAAAAAAAGTTAACTGTATGATCATTTTGTTTTAGGTTCGAAATCTAAATGATACAATCGTACACAAATATTGACTTTTATTGCACTTGTTTGTATTAATCTTATTTCCTGCTTTACAGTTCCTAGTGAGCCTCAGGCGTTGGCTGTTTCTAGCAGATCAAAATCTTTACTGATTACCTGGAAGGAGTCGAGGTACCCCCGTGGAAGAATAATCTCCTATACGGTATTCTCTATACTTAATTTCAAGGAAAGTTCTCGTAATGCTTAAAATGTATCCGAACTGTAATCCTTTTTCTAACCTTCTCTTTGGAGTTCTTTTCTATATCAGGTAATATTTTTTCAAAGTTGAGGTTTCCAGTATTTTCGGTTAGACTAGGTGACTAGGATTCATCCGATTGCTTGAATGGGAATGATAATTATATTGATATACAAATATACTTAATCCATTGAAAAAGAAAACATATTTTAAAAATAAATATATCAACGAGCAGGAGGAAACTCATGACCCAAATGAATCATTTCTGAATCACTGAATCATATGCTGAAGTATAGGTACAGTTGTGGACTTTGTCCAACCAAGATTTGTTTAGATGAGTCAAATAAGCTTCCCAGTGTAGGTTACCAGTTGGCTATTGAAGTCTCATTAATATAGATTCGTTTGAACGCCCCTCCCCCCCCCAAAAAAAAAAAATGTATGCAGATGCATTTTACCGATCTTTTACAAATGAACGGACAAAGACCTTTTCAGTTGTTTCCGGGTCAATTATTGCAAATATCCACAAGGTGACCTTAATACACATCAGTGGATGATAGTATTATCCACATTTGCGTTATTTCTTTCTCTCTCTCTCTCTCTCACTAGCTGGCCTACAAAGTAAAAGGAAAGCCATACGACAGATCATTCCAGCCAGAAGATTCATTTACAATGAATGAGGTAGCGGGAGCCTCTTCGAGTTTTGTACTTGATGATCTGGAGCCAGCTACACTCTATGAGGTCTACGTTGTAGCGTCCACTAGCAAAGGGGAGGGAGAGTCTAGTCAGCATGTTGAAGAATTTACAGAACCTCCTGCAGGTATTGGAAGAGACTTGTAGAAAGTTTGAATACCCCCCCCCCCCCTCCCCCCCCAAAAAAAATATATATATATATATTTATATATATATATATATATATATATATATATATATATATATATTTATAATAATAATCATATAAATAAATGAATGAATGAATGATAAATAAAAGAATACATTACTAAAGTAAATAAATAAATATAACAAAATTATTTAAAAACGGATTATAATATTGTGAATGGTTTTTGTATTCCTTCTATCTTGACAATGAAGTTGAAGGCGATTTATAGACAAACCATTCAACACTAAGTTTGTCTTTGCATGCATGTTAGCTTAAGTTTTAGGGGCGTTTAACGCTGACCACAGACCCTAATGTTTAACCATTTCAATTCTCTATGACACCCCCTATGGCTTTATAAAAAACAGTGCTTACACTATTCATTATAAATCAAGATGACGGGGTTCGAATTACAACAGGGACAAAAAGCCCAGGTCCCATGTGATAAATATAAGGACTTTAGTGCGACCGTCTTCTACTTTTCTTTTCGAATAAGAAAAAAGAGAATACCATCACTATCCATCTTATAACCGACGTGTACGGCAGTGAAAACCTGATACTTAGAAATAATTACTAGTCTCGCAGGATTTTCTAATTTCAATATTAGATAAAAGTTATTGCTCAATGAGGTTTAAGTTTGATGTTGACATCTCTTTCTTGTAATGTGCCATAGCTGACGAGCTTCCAAAGCCCTACCCACCCGTGATAGTGTCTTCACCCGACGGTACGCCTACCATTCAGTTTAGCGATGCGCTTGAATCTCCATATATAACGTAAGTATTCTTGCAAGCCGTGTCTCGCGTTCTCCAGCTACATATTCCAAAAGATGATTGTCGACCTTAAATAATATCAATCTTCATATCTTATTTATGTATATATACAGTGTGAGTCCAAAAATAGTTTACACCTACAAAATTGCTAATTATTTTAAAAGTCATCTATGAACAGTAAATAATTATACACCTTATGAAAGAGTGTTTTATTCCAAATCATTTAGTAACATTTTGAGTGGTATGTGTTCATGCTTGGATGAACAGGAGGCATTGTTTTCGAGAGTGCAAAAATCGACTGGCGCCAAAGTTGCTTATGTGATGTTTGAATAAAACAGTTGGGATTTGGGTATTAATTCAGTCTTTGCAGATCCAAATAACAAAATAAATCATGCCACACATATCAAATATCGAATATCAAATGCCAACAAACATTTGTGCGTGTGTGTGTGACTTTGCTTCTGCTAAAAACATGAGCAATGCATTTCATTTGATACATTCAATTCATTCTCTCACTCCGCTAACCCCCACATAATACATACTGTAGGCATGACTTTGGCGCAAGTCGATTTTTGCACTCTCGCAAACAATGCTTCCTGTTCATCCAAGCATGAACACATACCACACATAATAATACCAAATGAATTGGGATAAAACACTCTTTCATAAGATGTAAAATGATTTACTGTTCATATATCATTTTTTAAATAACTTGAAATTGTCTAGGTGTAACCTTTTTTTTACTCACACGGTATAGACCAGCGCTTATAAACAGTAGTATTAATCGCTATATAGATGCTATTATTGTTATTATCATTATTATCATCATAATTGTATTTATTATTACCACCAATAATACCATCATCATAATTTGTATTTGTTCATTATGTTGTCAATGTCTGTCCTTTTAACACACTGCTCTTCATCTGCTCATTTTTGTAAAGAGCCTGCGGGTTTCATTACTGTCTTTGAGACAAGATGAATGGCCATTTCTAACGTCAGTGTGAATCTACATTCCTCCTATATTTTCATCATGGACTCCCTCTCGTAACATTTTTAACGTACAAGCTCTTGGTATATTAATTCTTGAATGCATTAATTCGTTAATTATGAAGGCTTTTTTACTTCAAGAAGTAATATGATTTTTTTTTTTAGAAAGTCTGCCAGTCAGTCTGATGTCATGTGATGATGTATACAAGCTGGAGCATCAACATTTTTTGCACAAGGTCCTACATAAATTTAGGTTTTCCTCGTTCTTGCTTTAGAATAAAATGATAAAATAAAGGATAGTGTCTAGAGGGTATAATCATGAAAAATATCCCTTTGAACTCTCAGGCACATACTTGTTGCTGTTGAAGAAAGACTTCCGGTAACAAGGCGCCGACGTCAACAGGCAGCGTATGGATCCTATGCCGAGAATCCTTCCTCATACATAGCAGCTAGCATCAGCAAAGATGATCTTCCGATAGAGCTAACTATAGGGGATAATGAGACTTATGGCATTTACCACAATGCACCCCTCAGAGACAAGGCGATATATGATATTCGAACAGGTGTTGAGAGCAATGTTGGAGGAAAGGTAAGATATTAATAGTGGATATGTATGTCCCAAGGGACTGACGGCCTGCCTACACGATGTTAGAGCCTACGGTTTCGTAACAGAATTATATTGTGGAAGTAATATTAAGTGCAAATATCGGTGGTAAGCAGTGGCGTAGACAGGTTTGTACACCTGGGGGGGATGACTCAGGGACGGATCTAGCTTTTTGCTAAGGGGGGGGGGGGTGACCAAAATAATGACGATGCAGAGCATCGTCCACGAGCCGCGAAGCGGCGAGCCGATTTTTTTGGGGGGTGTTTATTTGAACCCCGTAAGTGATGTTTTCCTGGCAACACAATGGAGACCATAAAAAGCAGTGCATGATAACGTCTTTTTAAATCAAGTAACAGTTAAATACACAGTTATATCCAGAGTTATCATGTGTTTGGTTAAGTTACCAGATGAGTTGAATATCTTCTCACAATATTTGCACTTGAAAGGGTTTCTCTCCAGCGTGCGTTCTTTTTTCTTTCTTTTTTTTTTTCTTTTTTCCCCTTTTTTTTTTTGTTTGTTTTTTGGGCCGCCCAAGGGGGGTTTAAACCCCCTAAACCTCCCCCGTAGATCCGCGCCTGTTTAATCTTGTGGTTATCTTGTGGTTTCCAAACCACAAGATAACCACAAAATACTTGTAAGATTTTCTTTTTCTTACCGTCTGAATTGGCTTTCACCTTGTGAATGCGGCTAATAACAATAAACACAATTACAATAATGATGAGGATTATTATTATCATCATCATAATTATTATTATTATTAATATTATAATTGTTATCATTATTATTATTACTATTATTATCATCATTATAACTTATTAAGTAAGCAAATATCATTCCCCAAAACCTGGGGGGGGGGGGATGATTGTACATGCCATCCCCCCCACCTTGTGAGGTGGGGGGGATGCATCCCCCTCATCCCCCCCGTTGTCTACGCCCCTGGTGGTAAGGGACAATAATGAGTGGCTTAAGAATAAGTGTTTTTGTCGGGTGTATCTGAAATTGTTATCATTGTCTAATATAGCTCCTTCTAGATACAGGCCCTATCAGAAATACGCAACGTGTGGTATTATTTAGAGGATAGTTTCCGTGGGGAAAAAACACAATAACACATTATGGATCAAATAATTCAAGTGATATGGGTTAGCCTTTCAAAGAATTTCAGTATTTTGTAATGATTTGTGCTACACAACTTGATGGACCATTACAAATAGGCCTATACCATTTTTTATAACTTAATCGCCTCTATGAACTCTGATGAAAGTGGTCTAACTACTTGAGTACTTGGTACCTGTTAGTACTCAGAGTCACGTGGAAGTGCAGAATATTGGCCATATATCGCAGAAGCATTAACACATGCCATGCGCTTCCCTGGTATAGAAAAGGTTCTACTAAACTTCATTTAAACTGCCACTGGATAAATACATCAACATTTCATTTCATCAATTTTTTTCCTTCATATTCCTTGTTTACATGTACCTTTTATTTAGAAATCCACTCTGTTCGGAGATCCGTCTGAAGTACAAACAGGTAGGATGGCCTATTTTATGAGAGTCTTAGCTTGAAATCGCTTTTGCTTTTGAATGGAAATTGTCCCGATTGTCCCACGTTTAAAGAGATATGGCACGTTCGCATTGCTTGTACTTGTAACTTCTTTTTAGATCAAACCAACCTCTTCAATATGTTCAATATCAATGCGGCTTAACTTACTACGAATATGTAAGCAAACATTGTTAATTAGTACCAAAACAAATGGTTCTCTACGATCCGGAAATCAAGTGGTAAATGCAGTCAAAATTCATTGAGCACATTTCTCGAAGTTAATGACTTTTGCCCAAGATTCGTGATTTGCATCAATTTTGGATGCAAGGTCTGACTAAGTTATGAATATCAATACTTCTATACCTATACTAGGTTTAAAATGCGAAAGTTTCTTTTTTGCTCATCGCGTATAGTTCCTTCAGACCCCCAAAATTCGCGCCCCAATATAAGATAAAGTTTTTATTAAGTATTCTCTCAAGGGTTCTAGATTTTTTTTAATGCAAATGCCTTTGCTTGCTCCCTATTTTATTATGATTATCAGCCCGTTGTTAAATAAATGACAAATGGTAAATGCAAAACCGTATGAAGTGATTTGTAATGGTTTAAGATTTGAAAGAAATCTTATATTTTCTGAGTTTTAAAAAATCATATCAGAATACTCATACCAGAATGCGACTCATTACTGCCATGGTTTTGACAATATGGTGTCACCGTAAGATTTTGATCATGACCGGCAGATATTTTTGCTAAGTACATTGAGAGCTACCATTGCTGAACATTGAAATTGCAATTCCTATTTGAGGTATGCTCACGATAATGGACAAATGTATTGAATTATTGAAATCGTTGCATCTTTTGAATCTAAAAACAAAGGTTTTGGTTTCGGAAACCTTGGATGTCCGCATAAGTAGAACTATATCAACTTTTATATGTATACACAGAGCATGATTTTGTATAAGATTTTGGTTTTAGTGCTCCTTGATAATCGATAGTATTACTAAATTGTTATTACTATTATATTACTATTATTATTATCATTATTTTTATAATTTAATTTTTATAATTTTTTCGTCTTGACCTCACTTTTCCATTCATTGAACAATAATCGTACACCCACACACACGCGCGCACCCACACAAATGTCCATACGTGAATCGTGAATGTCTACCTGTGATAGTAAGCTAACTACTGGGACTGGTCTTTTCGCATGCCATTACAATCAATTATGATCATAATTATGCTGCTAGTACATGTGTATCTGATTTACTTATCATTTATATATATCAACTCTGATACTACCTCAGTATTTCTAATCTAGTATCTGATTTATTAAGTATTTATCTATTAACTCTGATGCTATCTTCGTGACTTTTAACTCCTGTCATTTCTTTTCACTACCATCCTTGTTCCCACACCATCCTCTTCACCTACTGTCTCTTCTCTATCAACATCAAATTCAGCTGGAGTTCCTTCAGGTTCCATAGCAACTGTCGTAGGAAGCGCTGTTGGTGCTATTCTTGTGATTGTTATCGTTATAATTCTCATCATCATCTTTTACAAGCGAAGAAGGTTAGAGAAATACCTTATTCTTAACTTGTCCCTCTTATCAGGCCATCCTAATCGTACTGTTCCATGCAAGGTGCTAAAACCATATGGTCATTAAACAACAAGATATATTATGATTGTATTTTTGTTTGGGTCTGTATAGTAATTTAATTTATTGTTTAAAAATATGCTATTCAATGTAAATGCTCTAAATCATAACGCTTTCTTAATACCATGGCAACCAGTTTGAAAGTCGTATGTAATAGTAATTTTTTTTTTTAAATACCATTCCCCCGTACCAATTGTCATGTTGACATGTTTATATATACCTATTTATTGGGACATAATTATTGTTTCAATTACGTATTTCATTAATGCGGTTTATATCTTTGTTTTAATATTAACTTTCAGCAATGAATCAGCCCCTACTAAAGTCTAAAGGGAAGGAGTCCGATTCGTCTCCGGAGTATGAGAACCCTGTATTTGATCCGTCAAAGACAGACGTCCACACCTATCAAGACCTGCACACTGACAGCCACACCTACCAAGGTGTTAATACCGATGCGCAGAGCTACCAGAATCTTGCTGACCCTCATACCTACCAAGATCTTAAGAAACCTGATCAAGAAGCTATATACGAAGATGTAACTGACGCCATGAACAGAGACTATGTCAACGTGCTTAAGAAGAATTGAATACAAGAGATGAAGAAAGTCCATTAAGATGATTTTGAGTTATCAAAAAAAAAAGTTTTATAATTTTAAGGGGAAATATATTACAAATATATGTCTATGTCTGTTTAATTTCGTGAAGATGAAACCATGCTTTATCACTTATCGTGAAATATCAAATTGAATCTTAATAACTGAAATAAAAACTGTGCTGATGGACTGTGGCGTCTCCTCCTAAGTATCCAAATGGAATACCATGACGAAAAGCTGTCAAAAAGTATCATGGCTTCGTTTTCATTCACCATCTCTACTCGCCGTTCTCCCAAATCTGTTAATATTGGGGATCATTTGTAATATAACCTTTCTAAATAATCATGATTCGCACAGGTCTGACAAATTTGGGTAAAAATAGTTGCACACCTTGGGTACCACACTACATGAAAGTAAAGGTATGCGATTAGTTTCTTTAAAGCCTATCTGTACTAGTTTGGCCAGGAGGGATGAGACCTCCCTGTATGGTCATTGACAGGTTATCTAATAAAATTAGCTCTCAATTAAAATATGATAAAAGGGGACCATGGGGGACCAACTGTCACCACTTAGGCATTGTATTGATTACTTGTGTTAATGCCTCTCGTTGCTAGTAGAAAGAATTATTACAACTGTGATGGGTGTATCTACCGAATCTAGATACATTGTATGGACCGTCCTCAGGACGAGTTAGTCTAGTTTTTGGAGTTGAAGAACGAAGCTCAATAATGAAGATCAGCCCTTGAAATCTAACCACTTTGTGTTGTGTATTCTGTTGTTGTGGAACAAAGGACCCAGGGACAACGGGTAGAGGAAACCTCACGTAACAAATGGGGGCTCGGCCAGGTATATAAAGTGAAAAGTATGATTTTCAGGTGATTTTTGTGATCATATTAGCGCTGGCATGTTGCATTACATTGCGTGCGACGAGTTTCATACACGTTACTTATGAGCGGACTGTTCGGTGTGTACTGTGTGTGTGTTGTCGATGTCGGTTCGTTAAGATGATATCGTCGGGCACCGCTGGGGTAGCCGTTTCAGGTTCGAGCATGTGTGGTGAGAAAAACATTGTTGTCTTCTCGTGTTTCTGCATGGATTTGCAGGGTTTGACTGAGGGTTATAACAGTCAGGTTGTCTAGATTTCTCGGATATTGTAGAATCTAGGTGTTGTAAGGTTGGCTGGGGATTATAACAGCCAGGCTCTAGCTCTTTCTAGGTTATTTAGGAGGCTAGGTTTTTTGCATGATGGCTAGCGAGTTCTCGTTGGGAGAGTTTGTTAGGGATCCGTCTGCGGAGCGATTAAGCTCGTTGACTAAAGTTGAATTATTAGATGTAGCAGCTCATTATGAGGTTGTTGGCATTAAACGTTACATGCTGAAGTCGGACATTTTGAACAGGATTGTCGAGTTTCTGGTTTCTGAAGAGGTTTTGTCTTCAGAGGCGGCGGACGGTATCAGTGTGACTCCTCCAGGGTCTAGGTCTCGGTCTCCTGAATTAAATTCCCAGGCTAGGTCTTCAGTTTCGGATGAAGTGAGGATAAAGGAGTTGGAATTAGAGAGGGCGAGAGTAGAGTTGGAGAGGGAGAAACTTGTTGCCTTAAACAGAAAAGAGAGCAGAAATGCTGATAGGCATTTTGACGTTGCAAAGCATGTCAGAATGGTCCCTCCATTCGAAGAGGAAGGGGTGGAAAAGTACTTTCCACACTTTGAGAAATTAGCTCAAAGCATGGGGTGGCCTAGGGAAATGTGGGCTCACCTGATTCAGAGTAAGTTTAGCGGTAAGGTTAGGGATGCCTACTTAGCAATGTCGATGGCCGACGTGTCGGATTACGATAAAGTAAAATCGAGCGTGCTAAAAGCTTACAAACTTGTACCCGAAGCGTACAGGCAGCGATTTCGCAAAGCGCGAAAGGAAGAATCGCAAACTCATATGGAGTTTTCAAAACAAAAAGAGCAATTGTTTGACAGATGGAGCTCATCTCTCCATGTAGATCATGATTATGATAAATTGCGTGAAATTCTTCTACTTGAGGAATTCAAGCGCAGCGTGCGACTGGATGTTCGTATACATCTTGAGGAGCAGCGCGTCGATTCGCTGGATGAAGCAGCAAGAATCGCGGATGATTACGTGCTCACACACAAAATCTCACACAAAGTGAGCCTAGAACCTAAGAAAAACAGTAACTGGAGCAAAAGCCAGAAAACTAGTTCATCACAAGAAAAGGATGAAATAAAACCGCAGTCCCAGCAAGGACAGGTAACAGGGGAAAGAATGTGCTATGCTTGCAAACAGTATGGGCACATAAAGTCAAAGTGTCCTTCACTTCAGGCTAAGAAACAGGAATCTAGTGCACATCCTAATGCATTCGTACAAACTACATCAAACTCACAAAGTAGAATTGTACCAGCGAACATGGAAAAAATTCAGAAAGAGTATGAACCGTTTGTGTCTGTAGGATATGTATCTGTAGCAGAGAGTGATGTAGCAAGAAAAGTGAAAGTCTTGCGGGATACTGGTGCTTCTCAGTCCTTGATTTTGGAAAGTGCGTTGCCCTTTTGTGATAGTTCTTCTGTTGGTGCTAGTGTTTTGCTCAAAGGCATTGGAGACGGCTTTGTGGAAGCACCCCTTCATGTGGTAGACTTGAAGTCAGACCTTGTTTCTGGTATGGTGAAGATGGCAGTTAGACCATCACTTCCTGTGGAAGAGGTATCCATCATATTAGGTAATGATCTCGCCGGTGATAGAGTCGTGTCATGTCCAGTAGTGAGTTCTAGTCCTTGTGAAAGTTCTGAAACAGATGAGTTGGTTGCAGAATTTCCTGTTGTGTTCCCAGCATGTGCTGTAACTCGTTCAATGGCAAAGAAAGTTGAGTCGGAGAAGAAGTCTAATGACGTAGATGTTGACTTGGGAGATTCTTTCTTTTGTCGTTTGGTTGAAGATGAGTCTGATTCCAATGTGGATGAGAGTGCGAGAAAGGATCGTAGTGTAGGAAATAGTGAAACATCTGAACCACTATCTTTGAAAAAGAGTAAGTTGCTAAAGGAGCAACAGACAGATCCTCAGTTGATTTCTTTGAATGAGAGAGCTGTTTCTGAGGAGGAGGCATTGACTGTTGACGGAACTGGGCGTAAAACATGTAGTTTCGAGTGCATACCACCCAGAGTCCCAGGGAGCACTGGAGAGATTCCACCAGACTTTGAAGAATATGTTGAAAACTTATTGTATGGAGTCAGAGAAACAATGGGATGAGGGAGTTCCCTTGTTATTGTTTGCTGTGCGGGATGCTGTACAAGAGTCGCTTGGTTTCAGTTCTTTTGAGTTGGTATACGGTCACTCAGTACGTGGACCATTGAAGTTGCTGAAAGAGAGACTGTTATGTGATGATGCACAAACAAATGTGTTGGAGTATGTGGGTACTTTCCGTGAGAGAATGCATGAGGCGTGGGAGGTTGCCAGACAGAATTTGTCAGATTCTCAGGAGAAGATGAAGTCATGGTATGACAGGAAATCGAGAGAGGAATTTCGAGGTAGGAGATGAAGTCTTGGTCTTACTGCCAATAGTTGGTCATTCTCTGCAGGCTAGATTTTCTGGGCCGTACACTATTGCTAAGAGAGTTGGTGATGTCGACTACGTTGTCAATACTCCAGATAGGCAGAAGAAGAGACGTGTGTGTCATGTGAATATGCTTAAGCCATATATCCGAAGAGATGACGAGAGTAAAGCACAACCAGTGTTGAGTGCTGTTGAATGTGACTCAAAGTGTGAAGTTGAGAAAGAAGTGTGCAAGATTGAGAGAGAGAACCCATGTGTGAAATTGAAAAATTCAGAGGTTCTAGCACACATCAATAACAAACGAACACACTTATCTGTGAAGGAGAGGAGCGACGTGAAAGAGCTGTTGAGTGCATATCCACAGTTATTTGCTGATGTTCCCTCTCGAACTGATGTTGTTAAGCATGATGTAGGTGTGGGAGATATGACCCCAATCAAACAGGCACCATATCGTGCAAACCCAACAAAACTGAAAAATCTTGAAAAGGAAATCGACTGCGAGAGTGCTTTCAACCAGGCGAAAGCCCTCTTATCTACCAATCCGGTACTGATGGCTCTGGATTTCAACCAGCCGTTCAGCATGATGGTGGACGCGAGCGATGTGGGTGCTGGTGCAGTTCTTACTCAAGCAGACGCTGAAGGTATCGACAGACCCATATCATTCTTCTCAAAGAAACTGTGGAAAAAGAAACATTGACTTTGATACTTGCACTTGAACGTTTCGACGTGTATGTCAGTGGATCTCAACATCCAGTGAGGGTATTAACTGATCATAATCCCCTGACATTCCTCAACAGAATGAAAAACAAAAACCAAAGACTGACGCTATGGAGTTTGCTGCTCCAAGAATACAAATTGGACATTCTACATGTGCCAGGATATTTCTTGGACAGTTGAACACTTACAGTAAAGCATCATTCTTGAACAGTTGAACATTGGTGAATTCATTGGAACTCTATGTGAAAAAGGAAACCAGAACTTTTAACTTTGATGGTTTCTTTAATAATCACAAAGCATTGTGAACATAGACTGATTGGACTCATTGAAACTGTTTATTGGACTCACAGAAAAATGTATTTTTCTTATGTTTGCTTTCCAGATGTCTGTAAACCAGTGTATATATGTATGTGATATGCTTATCGTATTCGTTGACGAATTTGAACATGCATGATAATATTATTGTGTTAAAACCCTTTTGGTACAAACACAAGGAACTAGAAAGCCTAGTGAGTCATCATTTTGTCTGTGCATGTTTATATATGAAAATAGAAACAGTAAATTGATTTATATGTTTTATCCAAAGCAGGATAAATATATTAAAAGAAGGAACTTTGGAACAAAAAGTATTTTGGTGGCTTACCATATTTTTGGTTATGGATATAAAGTAATCAAAGTTATTCTTGAAAATATTCAATACTCGACCAACACAGATGATATGGTTTTACACTACAATGCAAAATTTCAGATTAATAGTAACATGTTTTTACAACTGACGTGAAGGCTATATTATATTATCTTTCAGACAGGTTTAATGTTGCTGGAGTTTGTTTAGTATTATTTTTATGCAAAGAAATATGTTTAGATTCAAACTTGCGAAGAAGCATGAAGACATATTAATATTGATAGGTCATTTAAGGTGAACTTCTCTGCGATTTGAATTGTATTTTGTTTTATGTTAAGTACAAATGACTTCTGATATATGCAAAAGTCAGCGATGAAGATGATAGAGCAGGATGATAAAAGAATGGTTTATGTTTTTACTTATAGCTGTTCATACTCAATTTTATTGTATGAACGGAAACCACTAGACAACGCTGTGATACCATTTGCATGCTGGTACTGTATAGTTTTACAAGCTGACTTGTTTATCAGATTTCTTAATCTACAAAGACCTCATACTTATAAATACTTTCAGGTTTTTGTATTCTTACAGCAGTTGCTGAAACAACATTGAAAAAGAAATGTTTTTATAGCACTTCTCCTACTGGTATGAGTGCTAATTTATGAGGGGGAGTGTGATGGGTGTATCTACCGAATCTAGATGCATTGTATGGACCGTCCTCAGGACGAGTTAGTCTAGTTTTTGGAGTTGAAGAACGAAGCTCAATAATGAAGATCAGCCCTTGAAATCTAACCACTTTGTGTTGTGTATTCTGTTGTTGTGGAACAAAGGACCCAGGGACAACGGGTAGAGGAAACCTCACGTAACACAACATCGATGGACAAGAATGAAAAACTTATCAATTATTATTATTATCGTTATTATTATCATTGTTGTTATTATTATCATTATTTTTATTACTATTATTATTATTATCATTATTATTATTATCATTATTATCATTATTATTAATATTAATATTAATATTATTATTATAATTAATTATCATCATCAACATTATTAGTATCATCATTGTTGCCTGTTGTTGCTGTTGGAAAGCGTCATTACACCATTGCTGGACAAGAGGGAATAAATTATACATTATTATTA